ACCTCCGGGGCCGGCGGGGATCGAACTCATGTGGAAGTGACTTAAGCTTCTCAGTGCTGTGCTTTAACCTGCTGCGCCACCAGGGAGGGCCCATGTGAGTTCTTTATAGATGTTTGATGTCAGTCCCTTGTCAGATGTACAGTGTGTCAATATTTTCTCCCATTCAATAGGGTGTCTTTTCCTTTTATGAGTGTTTTTTGTCACTGTGCCAAAGGTTTTTAAGTAGTTCCAGTTGTTTGTTCTCTTTTATTTTCCTGACAGTTGGAGACAGTCCCTAAGACCTTCACTTTTCTGTTAAGTGTTTTGCCTATGTTTGCTTTTATATGTTTTATAGTTTTAGGTCTTACATGAAAGTTTTCTGTTTTTGAATTGATAATTTTGAGTATGGTGTGAGACATTGATCTAGTTTCATTCTTTCTTGTGTGTGGCTCTCCAGCTTTTCTAATACTATCTATTGAGTAAGCTTTCCTTTTTCAGTGTTGCCTTCTTCCATATACTTGCTCCAGTGTATATTCTTGTTTCATATATTAACTATCCATGTAGGTGTGGACTTACTTCTGTACACACAGTTCTGTTCTGTTGGTTGGTATGTCTGTGTGTGTTCCAGTACCAGGTTGATTTTATTATCATGGCTTCCTATGTATAGTTTAAAGTCTAGAAGTGTGATGCCTCCATTCTTTTTTCTTTTTTGTCATGATTGTTTTTGTCAGGGTTTGGGGTCTTTATGGATTCCATATGAATTTTAATGTAGGGTTTCTTTGAAGAATGCCATTGATTGTTTTTTATTTTTATTTTTGCAATTGATATTTTTTGGGGGGATTACACATCTCTGGTGTGATGGCCATTTTGACAATGTGGATCCTTCCAATCCATGAGCAGGAAACATTTTTTTATTTCTTTGTGTCTTCTATTTCTTTTAACAGTATATTCTTCTGGACCCTCCCTGGTGGGTCTGTGGGTTAAAGCACAGCACTGTGAAGCTATCTGAAGCCACTGCAGCACGAGTTCTATTCCCATCCAGGGAGATGACCCATGGTGTGGCATACCTCTCCTGGTCTGCCTGCTTTTCCCTCAGCAGTGTTATTCCTGTAGATCTTCCTGTTCTGCTCCCTAGTCTGTCTCTGGTGGATTCTCTCACCTTACACACACCTATAGCTGTACCCCAGTTCTTGTGAATAAGAGACCCAGATGTTGGTAGGGTCCCTAGCATTTTGTTTTATTTTTTTCACTTAGCATTTGGATGTTTGCTTTTATTCTATTGCCTTTGTTTAAAGTTTGATTGCTTGAGGTTTATCAGCACAGATAAAACATAACCTCAAGTGATAATAGTGCCTTACAAAGATGGTGGTGTGAATATCTAGAGGGAAAATTATGATATCTACTGCTTTTAAACGGTTTGAAGTGTTCTGTGTCTTAGATCACCACCCCTCCCCACCACCACTTGTAATCCCTGACTGTAATATAAGTAGCTTTTGGTTATTCCACTTTTGACAACTGGCAACTATGTAATTTTTTTTTAATTAAGTCATACTATTTTTTTTATTAAAAAGTTTATTTTTACATCATTTTGCACATTTTTTTTTCCATCTCAATTGTAATCCCCGTGGGTTTCCCATCACCAAATCACCCCTGTGCCACCACCATAGTCCTGTGCGTTCCCCCCCCCCCCCATTTTTGATCCCATTCCCCATTCCACCCCCACAGAATGTCTCTGATATATGGTTGTTCATTTTTTTTGTTATTTTCTCGCCTGGTCCATTATACTCCTGCTATGAGTGAAACCATCCGGTATTTTTCTTTCTCTTTCTGGCTTATCTCACTAAGCATGATCTTTTCCAGCTCCATCCAAGTTGCTGCAAAAGACATGTGTTTCTCTTTTTTGGTTGCTGAGTAATATTCCATTGTATATATGTACCACATCTTTCTAATCCAGTCATCTACTTTTGGGCATTTGGGCTGCTTCCATGTTTTTCCAATTGTAAATAAAGCAGCAATAAACATGGGGGTACAAGTATCTTTTTCAATCATTGTTTTTGTGTCTTTTGGGTAGATACCTAGGAGTGGGATTGCTGGGTCATAGGGAAGCTCCATGTTTAGCAGTTTGAGGAACCTCCAAACAGTTTTCCACAGTGGTTGTACTAGTTTGCATTCCCACCAGCAATGCAGGAGAGTTCCTTTTTCTCCACATCCTCGCCAGCATTTGTTGTTGCTAGTTGTTTGAAGATGTGCCATTCTCACTGGGCAACTATGTAATTTTTTAAAAATTCTTTGTAATTCTTCATTAACACACAATATATAATTTAGTTATTAGGTCTGGTGAAATGTTCCATTTTAATTAGCTTTGCTCTCATTTGATCTTATTTAGAATTAACTTTGATTTGTTATCCATGAAGATTTAAGTAATGATGCATTAAAATCTGATCTTACAGATTTAGTTTAAATGGCTCTTAATTTTTATATTTTCTAGCCCCCCAATAAAACCAACCTAAAAAAGAGTAGGATTGGTAGGTTAATATTTTTGTTTTCTTTATATATTTAGGTTATAGTAATGGGAGCTACTAATCGTCCTCAGGATCTTGACTCAGCTATCATGAGAAGAATGCCTACAAGATTTCATATCAATCAGCCGGTAGGTGGTTTTGACTATTACTATTACAGTTAAATGTTTACCTTTTTTTCAGGTCTTTACCTGTAATTTCAAAAGGGGATGATTTCTTTAATAGGACTTAGTATTTAAGAAAGGTAGGCGCAAATAGGACAAGAATCCCTTTATTGCTTCTTGTCCTTAGACTCTCTTCCTCTTTTTTTCTTCTTTCTTTTTTAAGATCAATGTTTTGTGCTTCTCTTGAGGGTATATAATTAGTTCAAGTTTGCCTAGCCACTTTAATGACTTTGGCATGTAGACGTTAACTTTTGGAAGGTATATGAAACTATCTAAATTATAGTTGTGGTTTAGCATAGGATAAAAGTAAGGTTAAAGAGTTCTTGTGTTCAGAAGGGCTGATAGAAAGAAGAACTGGGATATATCTGATTAATTCTTGGCATTTGTAATTATTTCCTTGGACATGATTAACGAACGATTAACTAGTAATAAGATCAACACTTTGAAATGTGAGGTTGAACCAGTATTATCTTCCTTTTAGCATTTTTAGCTGTTAAAAAGTACTCTTTTTAAGTAGATGGTTATAATTTTCTGATAGCGTTCATTTTTGTACAAAATACTAACATTTTGACTTGTCTACCTTTAGATTGAAAAAAGTCAGGGTTAGTAATTGAAGATATGCTACACACAATCATAGCTATAGCACACATATACAGCCATATAGAGAAAATTTTATTGTTATTGCTATCAATTTGAAATGAAAATGGTTTAATACCATATACAATTCTTGGCTAAAATTTATTTGCCCCATTTTATATTCTGCAACTTAGCCCATTAGTTTGTAGCAGTAAACATGTCAAAAATGATGGTTTGTAGCCTCTGTAAAATCTGTAAAAATACTCTGATCATCTGTTTGCTATAGCTACAACTATTTGTTCCTGTAAGGGTATATATATATTTAACCACTCTTATTAGGAAATGATGTACCTAATAAATCAGGAAAGCCTTTTTTTTTTTTTT